AATCGCTATATATACTCTTACTCATTACAAACACAATTAGCAGATGTGTTCGAGTTTCGACGGTTACAAGAATTGTGATTACGCCTTGTGCTGATTTTCACACCTGATAACCGACTTGCCAAATGGGTCAGGGCGGGATCCATCGCACAGTAAGGTCCCAAATATCTCCCATTCTGGCACGATCATAGAATAATATGGTGTTCCTCTAGTTAAACAGATCTGGTAACGACAAATTTTGCCCTCTCTTAGCATCCCAAGCAGGAACCCTCAGAGTTCCAAACCTTGCCCCTTTGTTACTGTGACATATCGCCCCCAGTATCATAAATAAATGCCCAAACGAAAGAACTGGCAAAAATCAACAAGGAAACTTGTTAAGATTTCATGTGGCTTACCTTCTGAGAAAAGGATTAAGTCTGGATTGGATTGACTCGGATTTACATTTTTGCCATTCATTTTATTGGGTACAACAATTAAGAAAGAACCCGTGGGCTACACAGCTCTAAAGAACTGACCAGTTATTATTTTCATTGTATACAGGTGGTATTATTTTGACTGCGGTGAATTTCATGCTTAAGACAATTAACGGTCAAGGCAAAAGTTTTCCTCTTTCAGGATGCAAAAATAGCACGCGTGAGCTTCAAAAATCGACCTTTAACGAATGCGACACCCGACCACAAGTGCATACTATCGTTACATTCAACATTACACTCTATGGCACAGTATGGTAGCACAGTGCATAAGTTATCGGCTTCGAACTCGAACTACGGAGGTGCAGAGTTCAATTCTCCCAGAGGGCTTTATCCCTACTAATCTTTGTCCTAACCACGAATTCCCTTGAGCATATATTACTTAAGACCAAGGTTATTCGGTTGGCAAGGCATCAGACTCAAAACTGATAGCTGTTCCGTTCGAGCCCTGGTCGACATCGCTCACCTTTCTTCTTTCCGAGGTTAATAAATGAGCATCACTGTGATAAATGCCTGTGAAATAAATAACAGAATACATATGTTTGTCTCACAGCTACTGTCGATTCTGCCATTTAAAAAATTAAAACTGACGATACGAAAATAAAGATCAGCGCCGTCACCACAAAGTTCATGAAAATAAGGTTGTTAAAACTGACCTTATCACGTAACTATAACGAAGAACGATATTTACACGGTTAATGATTTTCCTCTCCTTAAGTTAAAGCATAAGCATAGCAAAATTACATGGGAGTTTTATCGAAACTGCGCTATGTAAGCCACGAAATGTGCATATATGAATGACTTGTATCTGCGCCGACTAAAATAAACTTTAACACAGCGATTCACTTCAAAAGTTAAAACATTTACATACGTGCATTTGCATTCGTCGTTGAACTCTGCAGACCGAATTGCTCAGTCGATAGAGTATTTGACTTAGAGCAAAGAGGGCCTGAGTTGAAGCACCGGAATGAGTCACTCGTTCATCTTGTTTCCAACGCTGATAAATGAGTACCATTCTGTTGTAAAGAAACAGGAGACTACACGCTACTTTTACCACATGGCTGTAGACTCTGTCTTAAAACGAAGACGCTACTCGCTGATGGCATAGAAATAAAGCTCAACACCATCAACTTCATGACCCAAAGAAATGCGCAGAACCAGTCATGAAGAAGCAAGGGAGCAGACATTCCGTTTCTTTCATGTGCTGAATTAAACGCCCTCAAGACCAAACTAAGGGTGTCTCGCTGCGTCGAACACTAAACACAAGACAAAGTAGTACTGGAAAATTCAATGGTCTAGAATTGCTCCGGCCACTGGACTTTGAAAAAAAGTACCTGTCAATTTCTCGACTTCGGTCTTCAGCTGATCGACGGATGCGCTCAGAGGAAGACATACATTGTACTTCTCCTTTTTGTAGAATACAGTCAGCGGCACGGACTCTTCGACGCAGACTTCCTCGGCGATGATGTCGTCTCTCACTTCTAGCGACAGGTCTTCATTAAGTCAAAACTATTCACAGAGCATATAATAAAATAATAGCGAAACAAATACATAACTATACATAATAATACGCTAGTTTAAAATAACCTTCAGCCGAAAGGCATCTACTCAACAACTTAGTATTCGTAATCTAATCAACGGTTCTGACAATCAAGGTAAACGCTGTCTGAAGTTTCTAGCTTACAGTAATAATTACACATATTAGTTGAAGATATACACGTTCTA